AAGCTGTAACTTGAGTAAAAATTGAGATATCATGATGAAACTTGGTACACGTATTTCTTGGCTTCTTAAGAAGGTTAAGTTCGAAGATGGGCAAAATCGGCACTCCGCCACGCCCACAAAACGGCGAAAACCGAAAATTTATAAAGTGTCATAACTAAGCCATAAATAAAGATGTTAAAGTGAAATTGGGCACAAAGGATCTCATTAAGGAGGTTCATATTTGGACGTAATTTTTTTGGAAAAGTGGGCGTGGCCCCGCCCCCTATTCAGTTTTTTGTACGTTTCCTTCAGGCATTTTCATATACAGTTCAAAAATGGAAGAAATCGGATAATAACCACGCCCACCTCCCATAAAAAGATTATGTTGAAAATCACTAAAAGACCGACTAACAAAAAACGTTAGAAACACTAAATTTTACAGAAGAAATGGAAGAAGGAAGCTGCACCCAGGCTTTTTTTAAAAATTGAAAATTGGCGTGGCGTCGCCCACTTATGGACCAAAAACCATATCTCAGGAACTACTCGACCGATTTCAATGAAATTCGGTATATAATATTTTCTTAACACCCTGATAATATGTACGATATATGGGTGAAATCGGTTCACAACCACGCCTTCTTACAATATAACGCTATTTTGAATTCCATCTGATGCCTTCTCTATATAATATATACATTAGGAACTAATGATGATAGCGGAATAAAACTTTACACAAATACGGTATTTGATGCGAGAGTATAAAATGTTCGGTCACACCCAAACTTATCCCTTCCTTACTTGTTTTAAAACAAAATTTAATGTTGGCTCTTTGATTTCACACCTATAACACTAACATACTGACACTTAAAACGCAATAACTTCACCTCCAATCGATGAAATGTCATGAAATTTTCACCGGACAATCGGTAAAGATAGCAGATTCCAACGCACCAGTCGACATATAGATGGCACCACCAGGCGGGTTAGATTCAAAAATTACTTTGGAACACACCTTGTACTCTTATGACCGGTTTCATAGTCCATACTTAAGTTGTGCCCAAATAAAATCTAAGCGGAGCATTGTTGCAGACTGAGTAATCGTTTGCGTTTCACAGTCAATGCTTAATTTCTTCAAAATTTTATTATGATATATGGCACCATTATGGGCAAAAAATGTTTTACAAATGTCATCCATAAAAGTATGTTTGAAATATTTAAATTATAACGGACAATTCATAAATCGTCGAGGAAAGTTAGATCGAAAATGGATGCAAACAACAGAAGAACCTCGAACTTCACCGCTGGCGGATCGGATAACCTATTGGAACTGGTGGAAATTCGAATCCGATAACTTATAACATAACTTAAGTATGAACTATAAAACACTATTTTCCAGCTTTATCTTAAGCACAACTTAAGTATGGACTGTGAAACCGGGTATTAGAGTCGCCTTAAAACATACAAGCAGAAATTGATATCGGTTTGAAGAAAAACTTTTTGGCAAAATTTATTATTCGAAATAGGTGCTGCCATAGCGACTTTCCTACAGATTACTATTATTTTTGAAATTTTTGTTTTAGACCGAAGATACGGCCGCAATCGTGGACATAAGACAGGACCTTTTCTTTACGTTTCATTCCAACAATTTATATAACTATTATACACCCAATAAATAAACATAAAAAAAATCATTTTGTGTTCGTATTTTATAAAAATTCGGACTGATTAGCTAATTTCAACATTAAAAACAAATATTCGCGAAAATCAATGTCTTTTCGAAGAGTCACACTGCGACAATCCCTTAAAAAGACAAAAACAATAACGTTGAAGTTGAATGAAAAATATTTTACGAAAATGAAAGTGCGGTCAATAGACTCGAAAGGGGAGATCTAATGATTGACATCTTTTTAGTATTCTACATTATTGACTATTATCTACATTATTGACTATTAGTACGTTATCATGGTTCTCCAACCGATAGGGGTAATGACTACTTCTTCCTGCTTGATAAGTTCACGAATTTTTTCCGGTCGTTTGTTCATTCATCTCTCACGCAGTTCGATTTATGCATAGACGATAAGATATTTATTAACCAATTGCAGAACTTCAACAGATATTCGGTGCTGGCGTGCAATCTTAATATCTAAGTTTTCACAATCTTCGCTGTTTGGCATTTCTGCGAGTGTGATTTAGCGTTAAGCAAATGACACGCATGTTATACTCATCATTTTATTAATGATTGTACAATTATTAAATGGGAATTATAAAATAAGAAAAAACAATTTTCTGTATTTATGTATTTAGCTACTTCATAATGAATTATTGGTGTTGGTTTAGCTCGAAGAAATATTAAATTTTGCAAATTAGTTATAATTTTTAATGAGCCTAATCATGCAAACTAAACTGTAGAATAAATCTCAAGAGATTATTAACACTAAATTAATGAATGAAAGTGAATAAACATTCAAACACCATTCTCCCGCAGACAAATCTGCCAACGGTGACATCGCAGTTCAACGGCTGCAATGTTTCCATCACATCACCTGCAACAGTAACGACGACGCCAGAGGTGGTTATGAATTCGCCTTTGTTAAGCGGTATTCCGGCGCAACAGCATGATGGCGGACTTGGGATTGCGCTTAGCAATGGATTGTCGCCCGTCCTAAATGGTTATGAAAAAAATCACCAAGAGATGGAACAGCAGCAATTGAAATTGCTACATCACCGATCTAGTATCCGACATACGCACCAAATGCACCAACAACCACAGTCGCAAACGCAGTCACAACCATCGGCGGCAACGGCGACGCCAACGACAACATTGACGATTACGTCATCACAACCGCCATCGCAAAGTATTGTACTAGTGAGTTTTGTTGTCATATTAGCGAAAATTTGCACAGGGTGATGTGGTCATGTGTTGGCCAAGCGATTGCCACTTGATACGCCATATCTATCACCTTTCACATATCCACTTATTTAATAGTATGCAAATTTTTTTGCATCCTCGCTCGTACTCATGTAAATTATTTGTACTCGTACGTAGTTACTCTACATATATAATGTACACAAATTCCAGTTGAATTGAATTAAATGGAATGGAATGGAATGGAATTCGTGTTGTGTCCGTTTTACTAGCGCCTAAAATACTGCTGCGGTTATATAAATATTTATGCCACTGTAACAACAATTGCATCCTTCTCATACATTTTTCCGTTACTTACTTATATTCATAACTATAATTGTATTATATACATATCCATATATTGCAAAAATTTGTACCCGCATTAAGCATAGCATAGCTTAAGGATGACTGCAATGCAAATTATTTTCAATGCGGAGCGGACTTGAAGTATATTTATTATTAATATTAACATTAGTGTCGCCACAGATAAATGTATAAACATAATTTTCTGTAAAATGAAAAGTTCGTTGCTTTCCATTGTTTTGTCCAATTCATTTGTAGTTTTGATTTTTAATTAATTCCGTGATTTTACGTGTGATGCTTATAAGCTAAGTTTTAGATTGAGAGCTTCTCAATTTTTACAGATGTAACATAGTATATCCCCTCCATGTTTTTTTTTTAGTTTGCATGTAATTTTGAGACATAAAATAATGTAAAAATGATTAAAATATGTACCACATTCATTTTCTTTGAAGGTATCCACTGCCCTTAGGACTTCTATTTGGCAGCTTAAAGCATGCTAATGAAACAACTGCGAACATAATTTCCACATATTCCTTAATTATAATATTTTACTTATTTATGTAAAAAATTTTATATATTTGGCGTTCCATCGAATCGTTAATATTATATACTTAGGCATAAAAACAAATTTACGTCTAAAACAAACGATGCTAATTTGTCATAAGAAACGTGCTCTAGTCGTTCAATAATATTGTCAAACTTCACTCAAAGAGAACAAATTACATCAATATTTTCGGTTAGCTAAATCTATCCTTTTTCAGCCTTTTCTTGAACTATTATATCAATTGATTATATATATCATATGAATATTTACATATGTACGTATTTACATATTAATACAAAAAATTTATAATATAATTTAAATTTCCGAACATAAATAATATTTGAAATCGAGCGCTATTGCATTCATGAAAAGAATTTCTGCGAAGCATGGAACGATCAGGGTCCTCCTCCACCTGGTCTCTCCAACGGAGGGGAGGTCCTCTTCTTTCAGAGCTGGAGTGTTTTCATCCATGCGAACGAAATGACCTAGCCAGCGTAGCCGCAATCTCTTATTTCGAAGTTTTGCCTTTCAAAATTGACGAATTCGACGACTATTTGTTGAGGCAGGAGATGTTTCGTCTTGCCCATTTGCTTCGCTTGCTTATCCAGTCTGGAAACAGCTGAATTAACAGCGCGGATGTTGAGACCAATGATATCAATGCCATCTGCGTACGCCAGTATTATATACTCTCATAAATGATTGTGGCTTCTAGATTAAGCTCTGCAGCTCGAATTATTCTCTCCTATAGAAAATTGAAGCAGTCGCACGATAGGGAGTCGCCTCGTCATAAACCTTGTTTGGTATCGAATGGCTCGGATAGGTCCTTCCCGATTCTGACGGAGCTTTTGGTAGTGATCAAGCTTCGTAATCGACGGTTAGGTGGTGTGGATTGATCCGATTTTCACTGGTCTTTTCCCTGGCCACCGCCGTTTGTTATTCTTCAGACTGGTAATTGCTATTAGAACTTTTTAATGGTCGGCCAATGGAATGTCCGCACCATTGTCTTCGATTAGGGAATCGGGTTCACCATCTCCTGGTGTTATTGTTTTACTTCCATTCTGCAGGCTGGAGAAGTGTTTCCTCCATAATTTAAGTATGCTCTGGGCATCGGTGACTAGATCACCTTTGGGGGTTCTACACAGTATACTCCGGTCCTGAATCCTTCTATTAGCCGCCGAATTTTTTCGAGCATTACCCCTGTCAGCCGACTTGTCAAGTTCTTCGTACTCACGCATTTTGGACTCTCTATTTTTTTATTTGCAAATACATCTCGCTTCCATTTTCAACTATCGATATTTATCGCACTTGTTGTGGCCGATTGTAACGTTTCGAGGTATGCAGTCTTTTGTCTCTCCACTGCGACACCTCATCGTACTAGCTGTTTTTTTTTTTTTGTATTTTCCGAAAACCGAAGGTTTCGTTTACAGCTGTACGTAAGGAGCTTGAAATACCGTCTCACAGTTTCCTTATACCGAGCTGCTGACGAGTGCTTTTAGAGAGCAGGAGTGCAAGTTGAGTAGAAAATCGTTCGGCAATGTTAGGGCTTCGGAGCGTGCGCATGTCTAAAACACTGGATAAATGTCTTCCGTTTATTACAACATGATCGATCTGATTAGTGGCTTTTCGATCCGGAGACAGCCATGTAGCTTGATGAATTATCCTGCGTCAGATAACTTTTTTTCGGGCCACAGTGATCAGCATCAACCCATTTGGTGATGTTTCATCATGGGTGAATTTACCGACCGTTGCGGCAAACTTAAAATCGCTAAGCATGATTTTCACATTGTGGCTGGGGTAACTTTCGTAGGTGCGCTCGTATAAAACACCTTCGGTCACATCGTACCTCTCTTCCATCGAGGTGTGGGCGCAAATCAGCAATATATTAAAAAACATCGTCTCAATCTTTGTCGCGTCCATCCCCCTTCTTGGATGACAGTGATGTCAGCCTTTACTTCACCTTCCCAATTGAAGGACCGGAAATTCTAGGTGCATGCCCTTAAATCATAATCCGTAAAGTGTTTGCCACGGTCGTCATCAAAAGGTGGGGTCTTTTATCCTAGGCTGTTATTTCCTTTTCATTAGGGTTGTTTTTTACGTGGCGGGTTCAAACCCAGCGTATAACCGTGGGGTGCTATGGTTCGCCTTCACACTTTAGCTCGAATTCAAACGGATGTTCTTTGGCTACCCAGAGTTTACTTGGTCTAAGACCGGAAGTCGTGAGTGGTGATTTATGAGTCGTGAGGTAATTTGACAGCTGAAAAAATCTTGTCAGCGCGCAGAATAAACTTGATATAATTTTTTAAGGGCTTAGTGCAAAAAGTGATGTAAACAAACCTATGTGTATGAGTTCGCATCTCTCTTTAACACATGGGCATTCGGAGTTGATTGCCTATATATGCCTATGCATGCCTTCTTCTGAGTTATTGCTGACCATAAATCTATTAAAGCTGAAATTGTGCGTAATAACTGAAAAGCTATTATAGCTGCAAATTGTCGGATTTTCTGATTCCTCATAATGATTCATAAATAGACTTCAGCTTTCAAACTACAACATTTCTGGGCGTTCATATTGTTTATAAATAATTTGTAAATGTAATTTAAACTTCTATAAAATACCGGTGTTTACAGTTAATTTTTAACCGAGAACCTTCAAAAAGCAAGTATTTTTCTTAATTACCTTAATTTCAAGAATTTATGTCAAATCTTATAGAAGATAATATCACTAATAGTTCTCATCAAGTTTAGCGTTTGTTTTATAAAGATGCATGCAAGTTGAAACGAAAACATATTTTATACTTCAATAAAATAAAATAATTCCACTTTTCCGCCRACATAACAGATGTTAAATTTCAAAAGGTGCACAATTATTAATAATATGTATCTTTTTCTCATATTTCCTTCCCTTCAGTCTTCAGTATTGATCYAAAATGATTCTGAGCTGAATGTTACTCAGCAACAAATGCAACAACAATGCAATGCAAATAGCTCCAGTGGAGGGTCCGGTGGAAGTAGCACCATTACGTCGATTTCCAACAATTCAGGAACAGTTGGATCTACAGTTACCGCCACGACTAGCAACGGTACAGATAGTTGCATGAGTAATCAGAACCAGCCTGTCAACGGAAACAATGTAGCCAGTGGAGGAGTCTCGTCAGGGGACATAGCCGCTACCGCGAATGGCGCCTCCACATCCTCACCCACAAACACACCTGGAAACTCAGATGATTTGCTAGGAAGCACCCACCAACAACAGCTTATTACTGGAATGGGAGGCAGTCCAGTCGCTGTCGGCACTGCGGCAACCTCTACCACCTCTACATCAGTAGCTTCCGGAGCACTAGTCTCAACAAGCACTACTGCCAATGTCGCCAACACTGGTTTGTTACCTACTATTATGTCCACCCCACAAATGGTTCCCGGCTCAGTTGAGTCTGGCTCGGTAGTGTCGCCATTGGTAAGCGGAGCCAGCACTTCTCAGGTCATCGCCTGCCTCAACGCGGCTGGTGTTGGCACAAGTGGTGGAATAATGACCTCTGCCGTATCATCGAGTCCAGTTGCCACTAGTCTCACTTCGGCCCTAGTTCCATTAAATCAACAGCAGCAGCAACAAACTATTATTGATTCCAAAAATCAACCGAAACGTTTACACGTTTCGAATATTCCATTTCGATTCCGTGATCCGGACCTACGCGCTATGTTTGGGGTGAGTTAACTATCATATTTTATTCAAACCGCTATATACTTTATGCATACCCCACTTACTTATATTTATTTTATATACTACTTCATTATCTCCATAATTGGTCATTACGGAATTCAATCACAAATTAATCACCTGTAATCAAAGCAGCAATTTGGAACTATATTGGATGTGGAAATAATTTTCAATGAACGAGGCAGTAAGGTGAGGAAATTTTTACGATTATCTTATAAATTGGGTGTCATATATACACTGATGGTATTACCATTACATATTATATTATATTATATTATTGACCTTCTTCTTCCTCCCAATCCTATCCGCAATAAAAGATTTAAAATTATTAATCAATATGACCACATTCTCTGCAGAGATAAAATTTGAGGGCCGCCTTTATTACAATATTCCAATCTACCATTTATATCTCTATGTATCGATTTCAAATTCATTTTTATGTTCAAATAAAAAAAAAAATAAATAAAAATAAAACTAACGTATCATAAAAAAAGGATATCATTTTAAATAAACCATATTTGAAAATTTTGCTCTTAATGATTTGTAACAGGAATAAACGTATTTAATAAAACTATTTTGTTCATTGAAAACTTTTAATTTTAACGCATTTTGCCACTTGAATTGTCAATACTTCAAATCTTTCTACATATACTATATATAATTAATTAGCTAGATATGTTTCTATTTCCCTTTTTCATACCCTGAGTAACAACGAACATTTGTACGAAAATTTTAAACAAGAAAATAAATCTTACCAGAACTTTTCGCTTCCGAATCAGTTACAACGCAATTTCGTAGATATCGTCTTATGACTATTAATACATGAACAATAGAATATAGGCAAAGTATTATTTTCACATTTTTTTAATCGATTGAATTCTGCTTTAACTTGGAAAGATCAGGAAATGCAGGAAAAAAAGGAAAGTTTGAAGGTGGTAACCGAAGGAAAATGAATGAACACTTTTGCATGAGACACCCAATCCCCAATAAATTAGAAGTGAATTAGCTTAGAAATACTATAATATGTATGTATACGGTTTTATTGGAATCTGATTTTATTTCCCTTAATTGTTTTGAATGACTGTAATTTAAAATATATATATTTCTTTTTTTTTTACAATATATACTATAATTCTTGTCCGATTGCATGTGGTTGCGATTACAATTTGCTGGTGATGTGTTGATAATACGATGCTGCAATATACTGAATGCACAATGTTGCCTTTCTACTATTATGTGGCATGTGGCACACTATGATGTGTATTTATGGTGCTTCATGTGTCATATAATAGGGCTTTGGCTTTGTAACGTTCGCAAATAGCAACGACGCTGAACGAGCTCGCGAACGTCTTCACGGCACTGTGGTTGAGGGACGTAAAATCGAGGTGGGTGCATGCTGTATGATTATTTTAACCATACATTAACAGTCGATTGAATTTTAATTTTATTTATAATATACCTTTATAAGTCATATATGTGTATATATACGAAGATTGCTATTTATATTTCTTGGCCAACAATAGAAAATTGATCCTGTATGGTTGAAATCAGTTTTTAAATGAAATCGAAGACGATACAGGGGAGCGAATAATGAAAAGGCATCAAATATTTAAGTTGTTAGCTGATACATTGTGATTCTGTTATTCCGCATCAAAAGGAAAGTGGATACTGTTTATCTCACTTTTTACAGAGTTTAGCTTTAATTACTGCAGACAATACGAACACAACGCACACGTTAGAATATTTTGAAACTGATTATTCTATTAAAATTATGCCAAATTTTTCTAGATCCCACGAAAAGTGCTCAAAATCAAAAATATAAATAATAAGCTACTTATATATACATATCTATGAATGTATGTACCAGATACTATTAGTATTGCATTTAATTTTTTTTTTGCATTTTTGTACGTATTCACTATGTATAACTATTTTATCAGTATGCGGATATTATTGATCACATTCTTTTGTAACAATTCATATGAAAATAACAATTAATTTAGTATTTAATTAATTACAAATTTGCTTACTTTGAGGTACTTACTGCAAAACGGTCCTTTTTGTAATGCGTAATCTAAATTATCGTTGTTATGTAAAAAATTATGTAGAATTAACTAGATGCCAAGATTTTTATATCAGGTAAAACTGTCAAATATTCGGAATAGACCATATCTATAATATTCATATAGAGGAAATCATTTCAGTTAGAAATCCCCATTCCACAGTTATTAAGTAAATAAGTTAATCTTAATATTAAAATCGATATTTGAGTATGATTTTTTAAGATTTGCTTCTTGTCGTACCGTTTGCAGCCAATGTACCAAAAGAAAATTAGTAATAAAAGAAGTTATGTATTCTGGGAAAGAAGCTGAGAGGCCTTTGAATCTTCAAATACCCACACGTTCTTCATTCCATTGCATCTACAAACTAATACTTCAACCGTTTAATATACTTAAAACTCCTTATGTAAGAAACATGTAACTGTGTTCCATGTCCATTGAATAGGCGGGGTTGCATTAGGTTTGAACAATTCTTTAGTCAAGTATTTGTCTAAATATTGGTTTTCTTAATTTAAATTAGTGTATCATTTAGTAATTTAGAAGAGACAAAAGGAAGAAAAGTTTTAATTTACGAACTTCGGAAAACGGATAATTTGGGCGTAATTCACAAGAAGATCAGAGTAGGTATAATATAATGGTTAGCAACCACTCCTAATTAGTTATTGTAATTATGCAGTATACTTTCTATAATTATATTCTTAAGGAATCAGTTTGAGTTTTCAAATTAGTTACGTATTTTGAATAAGAGAACTGACTGGCTTTGTAATGATTTCCTGCAATTTTCGATATAATGTAGTATACAAAAGTTATATCCGATTTACGTTTTTTACATCTAGCACTGGATCTCTGTAATTTATTGCATTTACCGATATTTTTGCTACCAAATTAATTTTTTAACAATTGGATTAATTTATCTAATAATCGCTCTAATTAAAACTATGAGTAATAAACCATTAAACTAAAACTGTAAATATTTTAGATTTAATTTTATATGCGAATTTTATGCTATTAGCCGAATAATAACCTTCACTTTCCGGAATGCCTTTGTTGTTCGTGATGTTACTAAGCCGATTCACGCCCAGAGTTATCTGATACTTATCGTCTATTAATGCAGATGTATTTGCATATGTTTGTGTGTAAGTAATAAATAATGCTCTTACATGCATTATAATATATACTGCGAAATTAATATTGTGCTTTTCGGAATTATATTTTCTTTATATTCGTGATGTCAAAATCGTAATGAAAGAATGTTTGTAATTTCGCCCCATAAACATAAACAATCGCTTAAGTAGTTTAACACATAGTGAACTAGAACTACTGTTGATGTTAATTGAAAATGCTCTGTTCCACGCCATGTGGTCTCTGTCAGACTTACGGGACGCAACACAATACAATTCATTGGCCTCGCAACTTACAACAACGGCATAACCTACTTTGGTGTGAAGCGTACTTATGGAAGACAAGTGCACTTTTAGGCGTACAAAATCCTTTGTACAAACTAGAAAATGCCAGTGAGAGCAAGTATTCTTATTAAGGCAAAATATGTAAATATGATAATAGCAACAACAACGGATGCAATAATAAAATAGCGAATTTTGCTAACAGCAAAAACTGAATACATATATCAACTGTTTTGAATTTTATAAAGTAGAGAAAACCGAGGCTGTTGAAAATTTACAGCGGCTACGTTGGCTAGGTCATGTTGTCCGAATGGACGAAAACACTCCAGCTCTGAAGGTATTCGACGCCGGGGGAAGCAGAGGAAGACCTCCACCCCGATGGAAGGACCAGGTGGAGAAGGATCTGGCTACGCTTGGAATATCCAATTTTCGCCACCTAGCGAAAAGAAGAAACGACTGGCGCGCTGTTGTTAACTCGGCTATAATCGCGTAAGCGGTGTCTACGCCAATTAAGAAGAAGAAGAGAAAACCATTGCTGAATTTTTAATAATCCATTGGCTCCCATTAGTTGGAGTAGATTTTAGCAGACAACATTATTTGAATTAAACTATTCAGACTCGATTTCTAGGTTAAGTACTTTAATGATTTCGAAGTACAAGCCTTTGATTTATGGGCTAAGGTTGTGAACGTAGTAAGTAATTTTGTCAAAAAATATCAAAGTTATCTAATTAAACATAATTAAAAAGATTATGTAAATGAATAATTGAATTTGATTATACAAATTGGATTTTTACCTCTTTAAAATTTGGAGAAACGAAGAAAGCTATCAATTAATTGTCCATGTCCTTAAGCTAATGAAGAGGCAGGTCAAAGTTGTTATTCTCGAGTACACATACTAGTCCATAGATAAATAAGAGTGTGCATATGTATGCCATGTACGTGTTTATATACATATATGAAAGAGATTTAAATGTATTTGGGAGCATGCATAGATAATTTTGTTTGCGAAAATAATATACCTACATAGTGCATATAATATTTGAACCTTAATCAATTTACTTTTTTAAATTTATGTATGTATATATGTAAGTGCACTGTGAAAACGTATTGTTGATTGCGTGTGTGATCCTGCTAATGTTTTTCATTGATTGAATATTTGCCTGCGGATGTCCCACATATCCGCCATACAGCTATCGTATAAATGTAAACATTTGAAAAAAGAAATAATACAAAATTTCAGCTATGGCCAGGAATATTACTATTGAGTGCAAACATCATTGAAAATTGGACGCCACCAACTGGGCGATGTATACTTTGTTGAATATTGAAGCGTTCCTCAAAGTAAGCAAATGTATATTTAAGGTAGCCTTACTCAAAAATAATAATAACACTAGATGGATAAGATATATTTTTACTCTTTAAAATTGCATATGTCTAAATCTAATATATCGCCTAAAACTCTTTAAAAATTTAATTTCAATTTTTGGAAAACGTCTGCTTATACATCCAACTTCAACTAATAAGGTGAATAACGCTACAGCTCGAGTACAAACCAAAAAAATAACTGCTGTTCCAAATGGTAAGTTTTTTTGAAGAAAACAAAATCTTATTTTTAAATTATCCATCCGTTATGCTCTAAAGCTTTTAAGTAAGAACGTTAAGCTGCGGAACTCTTGAATAATAACGTAAAGCTTTGCAGTTTCTTAATATTTTGGTATACGGAATTTTGACATGTATACGGTTAATTGCCTAACCTAGAATAAGGCATATAGGTTTTTCGATACTATGTATTTCCAAAGTTAATTTATCAAATTATAATGATAGCTGTACTATAAAAAAATAAACAAGGGCATGAACATGAGCTAATGAGGATCCCGTTATCGAAGCTCTTATAAAATGAGTTAAACACAAAATTTGATTACAGCGACCTTAGATGGGCCCATACTATAAAAAATATTTGAAAACTCAGTATTTCTTTAGGACCTCATACTATCTTACATAAGAAATGACTTGGAAGTTAAAAGGGAAGAATACCGATTATGGTTAGACTGAAAGTATATGTCTTGTGCCAAATAGATATTCAACTAGACTGTCATTTCTCATATATAGGTTATTCCTAGTAATAGCATCCTACCTGCGCATAATGTCTTACACCATTTTACTAAATTATTTATTTACTAAATCCATGATCGTAAAGTTATTAGCTTAGATTTTTACTTTAAAACCAAAGAAAATAATAAAAATAATTTATTCGAGTCTTTAGTGTATTCCAGATTATAATAAAATCATGCTCTCTCTCGCATTTGCTTATTATTTCAAGTGTTATATATATATAATAAAGTCACATTATAWGAATGTTTCATTCATCATTGGCTCGTAAAGTTCGATAGTAAATTAAAGTACGTTAATTTATTTATATTGTTCTTTACAACTTCGGCGTATTTCAACGGATGAAGTGTTAAATGTATAAGTATATCGTTTAGAAAGGGGTTTTAAATAAGTTCGTTTATGTTTTAGCTTGTTTCCTAACTTACAACATATATTTTTAAGCTGAAATGAATTTATATTAAATATTCTTGTTTTTGAATCATACACAGTTGTACTGACAAAAGACGGTGCCGTACCGGCCCCAGCTCTAGGTGAGCAGAATTTTTATGAGTTAACTTGAATAACCTAATATTTTGTCTTTTAGTTCTAAAACTTGTAAATAACACTATAAATGGAAAAAGATGTAAAGAAAAAATATTCAAAACAAATATATTATTTTCTAAAACAATCATATGTATGTTTGGTATCTGTATATGTATGCATTTCTAACAAAGTTGCTTAGATGTTTTCAATTTTGATAAGATATATCGATAGTAAAGCAGAAAAAAACGAAAAACAGAGCATGTTTGAATATATTTATGTATGTATATTTTTTTATTTCCTAGTGATTTATTTTGCTTTTGGGGAAATTAAAAGTTATGTATTAAGTTACAGAAAAAGTTACATACCCAATTCATTACGGAATGCTTATGACATAAACTACAATTTTGCATGGAACCTGAATATGTATACTTTTGCAATATGTTGCTACAGAGTGTTATAATTGTGTTCACCTATATATAGAAATGATAGGGATGATGAGATGAGTTGAATTCCCAGTTACCGTCCGTCCTTCCCTGCAAGCCAGGCGCTCTAATAGGTTTAATATGAATATCTCAGAAACCACTATAGCTAGAAAGGAAGCCATTCGGATATTATGGTTAGTCAGAAAAAATTTTAAAACATGACAACCACGCCCACTCCCCGTAAACCATTATGTTGAAAACTACTTAATACACCATAAATCAGTAAGCAAATACATCATAAGCATTAAATTTATCATCTTGTATGTTACGGAGGAGCCTCATAAGAGCCCGTGACAAAATTGGACGATGAGCTTGTCGCAGTCCACCCATTTCAACTAGATTCGGTAAATAACATTATATTGACATTTTTATCTCCTCGTATGAAAATGGACGAAATCGAAATAAAACTTTCCATGTAAGAAAATTTTAAATTCCATCTATTTCATTCATTTTATATTGATACTTGTATACAGTGAAATTCCTCATAACCGGACACCGGTCGCAGTGTGAGCTTTAAATGTATTTCTACTAAATAAATATATGTGAGCCATCACACATCAGACGGCGCCAGTGCTATTATCATTTTACTTATTGCCTTTAGAAACAACCGTCACAGAAGACCAAAAATAAATATGAATTGAAAAATTGGGAAACTATAAATTGTACACAATTTATTCACACACTTTATGAAATATTGTCCGTTTATCTGGGGTTATTTGAACGAAATATTATCAAAATAGTGTCCGTTTCCGGTCATTGGAACGTTTTCGAGTTATTGATCAGGATGACTAAAAAACTACTTAAAGCACAATAAATCAATAACTAAATACTCTAGATACATAAAATTTTATCTACAAAATGGTGTAAGAGGGCTTTATGGGAACGGGTGGAAAATTGGACGATGAGTGTGGCACTGTCCATTTTTTGCTGAAATCTCATATCTCGGGATCCGCCCGACCGATTTTGACAAACTTTAGTTCGTTGCATTCTTCTCACACAGTGTGAAAATCGAAATCGGACTACAATCACGCCCATATAGCATATTTTTAAATTCGATTAAATTCCTGCACTTTCTTCACAAATAAAGAAGCAATTAATATAACAGAATAAAACTTAGCACGAATAATGCTTTTAGGGCGTGCCACCAAAAATTGTCCAAATCCAACCAAAACTGTTAAAGCCCCTAGCTACCGTATATATGGATCCCAGTATCTCTGGATGACTTTTGACTGAAAATATGTCAATGTATACAATTGAAATTCAGAGAGAGTCTTTCGCTGATAATAGTATCTCGGAGTATCAAAAATGGATGAAGTGGAAATCGAAATTTCGAAATTTCCAGACATACAGCATCGCCTAATAAACTTCACAAATTCCATTGGTTTCTTGCGCGGCATTCTTCCCTTTTTATACTCTTGAAACCAGTTTCTACAGGGGATAATAGTTCTGTTCACGGTTGCATGGATCACTTCAAACTAATCGAGATAGATGTAGGGTTATATAAATGATCAGGGTGACGAGAATAGTTGAAATCCGGTTGACTGTCTGTCCGTCCGTGCAAAATTTGTTGAAATCCAAATCCAATAAAAACTGTTCAAGACCCTAGGTACCAGAGAACTGCAACGAGTAATAAATTTTTGTTTATACTTAAGTACTTATCCGTTACTCTGTCCGATTCTGTCAGCTCGGCTCATACACGAAGTGCACCGTTTGTCTTCAAATCAGCGATAAAGAACAACTTTGAATCACTAGCGATCAGCTTATACCTGATTTGTTTATGAAAGTGCGCATCAGCAGAAAATACCCGAAGTGATGCAAACTCATGCTTCAATGATTGAAATGATCGACAGAGTTCGGTTTGTATATCATCCCCTAAACACTGATTAACTAGTGTACTTCTGTTCTATTTCAAATACATACGTTTGTATATACATATATGTATGAATTTACATACGTTATATCTATAATGGAAATTCCATCAATTACATACATAGAACATATATATGTATGGAATTTCCATTGTTTACACGTCTAAAAATTTGTAACATGCGCACATTTTCAGAGCTGATACATGTTTTGCCACTCATGATTCAGATCACTCCAGCAGAAAATTGTTGTTGTTTGCTGAACTCATAGATTTACCCATAGATTTACCCAAAGTTTCACTTCAATTCAAACAATCGTCGCAACGCTATGACCGCACATAATACAATTGCAACTGAAGCCAGCCATACCGTTTACACGATCGTGATTGCCGAAGAACAGATTGTTCCTGTTGCATCAGATCAGTTGACGCTGGCGGCTATTAGAACAATGCTACTTAACAATGTTGTATATGCTGAACTGAATTGATTGTGTTTTGGCACGACTGTTTGTTCTGATTTTATGATACTCGCTGCAGTTCTCTGCTAGGTACCGAATATTTAGACCCCGGTACCTATAGTTGGCTTTCGATGAAAAATGTCGGGTCAATGTTTGATACATATGTATATATAACTGAAATTTAAGGATAATCCTTCTCTTATAATCGCAAGTCTGTATGTCAAAAACGGGTTGAATGGGATCCATACTTCTCTTAGCCCCCATATACTTAAAATAAAGATTTTCGAACTTCCGGGCTACTTTGTACCGCATTGCTTTCACCCATTTTCGAACAGCTGTTACTTTTTTTTTCAACTTCACCGAATTTAATTTTTTGGTTAAATGAAACTTAAAATCTCACCTTTCAATCTGACATAATGTGATTGGTAGCACGGGAGATGTACGACTGCACCGACATCTATTGACAAAATACGAAAATAATTTTTCGACTACCCAATATATAGTATACATATATATATGTATATACAATCGCTTGGATTCTGATACTCTGGTTGACGTTTTACACCTGTTATTTCCTTGGTTTTGATTCCTGCTAGTTGCAAGGGTATAAGATGTTGGGCTGAATATATATTTTTGATACACCTGAAAGTATTTTTACGCCTCTGACTTTTGCAAATTGCGAGAGTATAAAATTTTCATTGAACTTGAACCCTCTCTTACTTGCTTTCCGTTACACTGCTTCAATTTCAATAGTTTAGGAGAAAATGAAAATGCCAAAATAATGTATATATGTAAATCATTAGTATTTATGTATATTGAGTTGACGAATGTACATATATTTCTATTATTACATTAAAATCGAGTTATTCTCCTTTATTAATATTGATTTACATAATTTAACAATTATTGTGAAACTTAATTCTGAACATTTTTAAAATTAATAGCTGCTTACAAAATGACGATATTAAGACATTTGTCATGTGGCATGATCCAATCAATATGCATTCGTTACATACATACATATGTGTATATGTACAAGTAGGAGTGTGGCGATGTGATACTAATCACAAAAATGGTTTTTATTCTATCCACAAATTATTATATAAAAGTGTAAATCTAATAATACATGCATATATTACACTAAGATATCTAATAAAAAATGCATTCAATTGGATTAAAAACGTACACATGCCATACTGTTATTACATACCTTGCTATATTCGGCAACTTTAAGTTCTATTAACATCATAAATTATATAAAATCAATTTTGAATGGCACATATTAATATAACTTTATTGTGAGCATATCAGTTATAGCTCGGTATTGCATTAAGCTTTTTGATTTTTAGATATGTGATTAATTGGACAATTTGTTTTCGAGAAAAAGTCTATACAAAAAAAAAAAAAATATTAATTTTTGAATTGAAAAAATAATATATATACATACATACATATATCAATTTTGAATTGCACATATTATTATAACCTTATTGTGAATGCATCTTCATAATGGCATGTTACGGCGTACAAATTGCTTTCATGTAAAACTTAATTAATTTTTAAATTGGTAACAGAGAAGGTATATGTATATCGGTAGTTCGGGGTATGCTCATATGCTCTTTTATGAAAATATAATCGCATTTACATATGTAGGTATCTTAGCATATACATACATATATGTACATAATACCCGTTTGCTCTATATTATAAAAAAAAAAGTGATTTTAACCATTCTCGTATTAACTAAACTTCTATTCTGGTTGTTATTCTTCCAACTAAATATTGTAATTTTTCTTTCATTTTATATGGTTCCATACTTGCTGTAACCAACAACTTGTACCATGCAACCGATCAACAACGACAATTATGAATCCTAAACAAAATTTTGTTTCAATAGTGTGTGTTCAATGGCCAGAAGGTAAGCAAATCTGAAACCTTATATTTTGTGTAACAATATTTAATGAGATTTTTTCATATATTGGTATAAATCAATTGCAACAGTTGTGAATTAAAAATATCCATATCACATTCGATTTTCGGCGCTGAGAATATTCAAATGATGTATGATCTCTTTTATTTACATATAAACAGTACAGTACAGTAACACTCAACATTTTTTTTCGTGATGTTAATTATAAAATAGAATTATTTAGAAAAATAACTCCCAATTTAGCCGTGCCTGGCACTGAACATGTTTCAACAAATTAGAGCACATAGAAATTGTCGGTATTTCCAACAAAAAAAATTAATATTTCTTATGAATATATAACAATTGGATGAATTATGTTAAATGAGATACAATTGTTGTGTTGTATGTATGACATGATAGAATGAGTATAATATATTTGTATATTTGAGAACCAATTTCTCTTGCAATGGGACAATGAACCGATAGAATTAGGCTAATAAGCATTCACATTAATATCCCTACAATATTCACGTGGATAAGGAAGACGAGTGTGTGATAGATGTCCAAAAATAGGGTATTCTAATAATATTTCAATAAGTTTTCGATATCTATAAAACAAATGCTCTGCAAAATTTTAGTTATTTCATTAATTTATTTCTGCTGTTTTTAGTATATAAGCAAATATATACATCCTATCGTGGTCTTATGATTATAAATTGTAGGCTTATGGTATATCAAAATTTAATAGTACATACACATAAAGAAATTATCTGACCGTTTTGTAATTTATTGTTCATTTAATGTTTCTAAGTACATTTAATTTTTGACATTTACTCATTTTTATATTATTTATTCATTACTACATGTACCACGTACATATGTATGTACAAATGTATATGTTAACTACAGTACCCCGCCAACCCATTAGAAACATAATATATAAATTATAAAAATAAGAAAAAACGTTAACTTCGGTTGCACCGAAGCTAAATACCCTTCACAGGTGTATTTCTGTTAGTAACTTTTTGTTCAGTTTGTATGGAAGCTATATGCTATATTAATCCGATCTGAACAATTTTTTTGGAGATTATATGGTTGCCTTAAGCAGTAATTCATGCCAGAATTTCGTGAAGATACCACGTCAAATGTCAAAGTTTTCCATACAAGAACTTGATTCCGATCATTCAATTTGTATGGCAGCTATATGTTATAGTGATCCGATATCGGCAGTTCCGACAAATGAGCAGCTTCTTGTAGAGAAAATGACGTTTGCAAAATTTCAAAACAATATATTAAAAACTGAGGGACTAGTTCGTATATACGAGCTGTGTTCAAAAAGTATCGCGAATTTTGTGTTTTTTCAAAAATTATTTATTTATTCATGAATATCTATTTTGTCCCCTTCAAAGTAATCCCCATGAGATATTATACACCTGTACCATCGGTTTTTCCAATCTTCGAAGCACTTCAAAAAATCATTTTTTTTTATCTTCTTCAGCTCCTCCTTCGATGCCGTCTTTATCTCGTCAAAAGAAGTGTAACGTCGTCCTTTCATGGGCCTCTTCAGTTTAGGGAACAAGAAAAGGTCACAGGGGGCCAGATCTGGGGAATACGGTGGCTGCGGCATCATTGGTGTGTTGTTTTTGGCCAAAAAGTCGCGCGCAAGCAACGATGTGTGGCAGGGGCGTTATCGTGGTGCAAAAGCCAATTTTTGTCACATCTTCTCGGCTTTCTGAGAACATTTTGTACCAACGATAAAGGTTGCTTCGGTCCAAGGTAGCTTGTCCGTATGCCACAGTCAACATTCGGAATGCATCCGCGCACTTAATTTCGTTTTTCACACAAAATTTGATACAGGTCCTTTGATCCATTTTTTTGAACAGGTAAAAATCGAAGACGAATAATTGAAATTTTTCTACTGCCTAAGTATTAAATAGGCTGTGTGCTAAATATTACTCGGTGTCAAATATGAAATAAATATACCGTTACAATTAGCGGAACATAAATACGAAATCATATTGAAATGTTTACTTCAATTGGAATTAGTATTTGTGATTTAGGGCTCATCAGAAGTAGATTGTATGGCGTAATGTAAGAAATCGAATTTTTTCATAAGTGTTTAACTATTATCTCATAGATTCTAGAGTTTTATTTGTTAGGTTAGCATTTTTTGAAGTTTTCTGAAGCATTATAATACAAAACATGAAAAATATACTTTTTAGGAAATAGGTAAAACATCGGACATTTCAAAGAAAATCCAAAGTGCTACTGCCACACTTTTAAAAGATAAAATATCCCAAGCGTAGCCAGGTCCTTCTCCACCTGGTCCTTCCAACGGAGGAGGTGGAGGTATTCCTCTACCTCTGCTTCCGCTGGCGGGTACAGCGTCGAATACCTTCAGAGCTGGAGTGTTTTCGTCCATTCGGACAATATGACATAGCCAGCGTAGCCGCTGTCTTTTAATTCTATGAAATATGTCGTCATATATCTCGTACAGCTCATCGTTCCATCGAATGCGATATTCGCCGCGGCCAACGCGGAAAGGACCATAAATCTTTCGCAGAACTTTTCTCTCGAAAACTCGCAACGTTGACTCATCCGTTGTTGACATCGTCCTAGCCTCTGCACCATATAGCAGGATGGGAATTATGAGTGACTTATAAAGTTTGGTTTTTGTTCGTCGAGAGAGGACTTTGCTTCTCAATTGAATACTCAGTCCGATGTAGCACCTGTTGGTAAGAGTTATCCTGAATTGGATTTCTAGGCTGACATTGTTGGTGGTGTTTACGTTGGTTCCAAGATAGACGAAATTGTCTACGACTTCAAAGTTATGACTGTCAACAGTGACGTGAGAGCCTAGTCGCGAGTGCGACGACTGTGTGTTTGATGACAGGAGATATTTCGTCWTGCCCTCGTTCACTGCCAGACCCATTTGTTTTGCTTCCTTGTCCAGTCTGGAGAAAGCAGAACTAACGGCGCGGTTGTTGAGGCCGATSATATCAATATCATCGGCATACACCAGCAGCTGTACACTCTTATAGAAGATTGTACCTTCTCTATTTAGTTCTGCAGCTCGAATTAYTTTCTCCAGAAGCAGGTTGAAGAAGTCGCACGATAGGGAGTCGCCTTGTCTGAAACGTCGTTTGGTATCGAACGGCTCGGAGAGGTCCTTCCCGATTCTGACGAAGCTTTTGGTGTTGCTTAACGTCAGTTTCATCAAAAAGGGTGTCACTCGTCCGAGGATTGTTGTTTCCTTTCATGGGGGGTGGTTTTTTACTTGGCGGGTCCCAAACCCAGCGCACAACCCAATGTATGCGATATTTTGCCTTCTCACTTTAGCTCGCCTTCAAACCGATGTTCTTAGGCTACCCAGAGGACACTTGGTCAAAGGCCGGAAGTCGTGAACTGCTTCTGTAATATGTAAAAGAATCGTTTCTGGCCACTCCCAAGTCAATGGCAATCAGAGAACTTTGGTCACTTGCGTGAACTTCTACACATGACTCCATCCTCCACATTGAAATACTTATTGCAAAATAGAAAAATGTCTGAGCACATTCGACGTAAAGTAATGAGGTTCGCTCTGTAATCGCGCAGCGACCAGCTAGAGAAATTTAAAAGAAGCAAAATGATGTCCATGTAAAAATATCACAAGGAACAGCAAAGAAATTACAATTTACCAAGGGAATGAAAAATCAACGAGTAGTAAGAGTTAAACTCCATCAGAACTACACAAAGTGAAATAAGGTAAACATAAAAAGTTACGAACCTCCCCCGAAAGGCACCCATTCGCAGTTACCCTGCTATTTAACATGATTACCATATTTGGCAACACTGAAACCTTCAGCAGCCCAGTACACTTATAGCCTTGAGAGATGAGCAAAAGTAATGCGCCTTAAGTAACGCTAATGCGCATTGAAATTTTATGGTGACAGACGGCAGATTTGTACATTTAGACAGCTGATTGTGAAATTTGATTAGTTATTAAAAAAAAAGTGAAATGAATAAGAGAAATTATTAATATAAATTTTGGTAATTTTGGAAAAACTATGTTCAAAGATAATAGAGTGATATTAAAAGCAATAATTGATTGTAATGCGAAAAAAGGGCGCGAAAAAGCTAGGAATATTGGAAAAATGGATAGCAAACTGTGCGTTGTTTATTTTATGCCATCGAAAAATATTCAAATTTGTTTTTGTTGATATATGTACTTGCATATAATTTAATTAGCAATATAAAACTGCTGATTTTGATGCTGTAAATGCAAAGAAGGCACCAGACTTCCAGCGAGATTTGTCAAAAAATAGGAAAAATCTGCCATTTTTGAGCTGTGTTGCCTAATCAAATTTGGTAAATTCATCTAAATGCATGAAATTCTTGTGCATTACAAAGTTGGATTAACGTGGGTCAAATGTAAATTAAGCCCGCTAGTGCATATTTGCACTATCGTCTGGCAAGGCTATTATACGCACGCTGAGGTGCCTTGCCACACCTCTCGACGAACGACTGATGCCCGTCACAACTTGGATATCAATATTTTACCTTAGGCGCGCAATTCACCCGACCTAAACTAATATACCCAATAACCCCACTCAAAGGTAACATAAAGGACCGAAAACGCAAACCTAAACGCAAAACTATATGAATAATTGTCTCTGTTTCTAATGGTTGGCGGGGTACTGTAATATGTATGTATGTACACGTATGTGTATGTATGTATTTTACATAACAAAAAAATTTCAAAACTGTTTTCGTTTCTAAAATATGATTATTGAAAAATAATAACTTTTTAGCATTTGTAAAAAAATAAGAATAAAAGTATATAAACATGAATAAATCGTATATTTGGTAATAGTATCGAATCATTCAAAATAATTTTTCTGTTCAGCAGAATTTCATAATAATTCGAATAACTTCACTATAAATATAATTTGTATAAACATAGAAAAGTGGCAACAACATGTGATATGCCCATATAACTTTAAGCATTCCACTTCAAATAAATGAGTTAG